TCACATGGTATGGAATGTCCCTTTGGCCAGTTTGGGTCAGCTGTCCCGGCTGTGCCCCCTCCCAGCTTCTTGTGCACCTCCAGCCTTCTCAGTCGGTAGAGCATGGGAAGCTGGAACAGTCCTTGACTAGTGTAAGCACTACTTGGCAACAACTAAAACATCGGTCCGTTATCAACTTTGTTCTCATCCTAAATCCAAAACACAGCACTGTACTAGCTACTAGGAAGGAAATTAACTCTATCCCAGCCGAAACCAGGACAAGGATCAAGGTGGATGATTTGGCCCCTTTGGAGTGAATAAGTTTGGGCTAATTTTGTACTGGCCTAGAGGTTTCCTTCTGCATCAGTCCTTGTTCTCTTTCCAATTCTTAGTAACTTCATTTCTTGATCTCTGCTGACCTGTGACTCCCAATCCTATCTTCAAGTCTTAATATCTCTGACCTTTCTTCTACTGTTTGCTCTCCTTGCTTTCTTCATTGACCTTTATTTTTCTTCCCTTTCTTTCATCTTCTACAGAATTTCTGTCTTAAGCTTCCTTTCCTTCCCATATAAATATGTGAAACTTTTATTATTTTGAAGGGGTTTATACTTGTAAATTTTTGTTACTCTTGATAGTTTACAAAAATGTGGTTTGTTTGTTTGTTTTTGTTTTGTTTTGTTTTTCCATGTCAATGCTCAGGTCTAACAATGTTGAATGTGTTACAAATGGCTAAAAAAAAAAAAGGATAGTACTGAGGAGGTTCAAAAGGAATGCATAGAACTGCTGAACGGTGATGTCACTTTAAGGTCTGTATTTGGGTATTGCATCAGAAGCCAAGGTAAAGGTTTTATTCCATGCTCTAGAATGACTGCTGGTATATGGGAACTTGTATACCAGGAGAGGGATGACTTACCACATTATTACTAGCTAATGGACTGTACGTGTCTGCCATATGGAGGGACTTCCATTTGAAAACTTCAGTTTTCCCCATTATTTGATTCAATATAGACTCTTTATTCCCTTTGTGTGTTAACAAGAAAAAATGGTGAACCACAAGACTTGGGCCTGTTTGGGATTTCACAATGAATGAGGACTACAGTGTTGGTATTCTTAAAGCTTTTAAAAAATACTTGTCTATCAACAGAATTCACCTGGTAAAGCCCACCAGCCTTTTATCTGCAGTCCGTCAATTGCTTTCCTTATGTTTACAACAAGTCCTTTTTCTTGAGTGACCTTTGGATTTTAACTGTGTAATTAACAGGCCAGGCCTTAGATGTGGAGTTGAGCTCTGAACACCCACTGGCTTAGTTCTGCACGGGTGACTGCTTGCTGGCAAGGGAGGGAAACTAAATAAAACTGCAGTAAACATACATGTCAAATTTGTGGACTAAGACCTGTCTGAGGTCGATATATCCTCTTCTAATAAGAATATTTGAATGCTATGTTCCAGTGTACTTCTGTTGAGGTGTACCTGAACAAACTAAGGTTGTTAATTAATGAGGTAAAGTAATTTTAGTGATATGAAAATTTGTGAGTACCTGCTAAAATGCTTTCATATTTTGCATCCCTTAATAGGGAAGAAAAAACCCAAGTGATTTGGTTACTTACTTCTATTTCTTTTTTCCAGTTGTCTCACTCTGTAGTATGCACTTTCTTAATTAATGCCACACGTATCCATGTGCTGATCTGTAGCACTTCCAAGTTCAAGTGTAACACAACAGTTGGTCCAGATTGCCCATCGCCTGCTTGATGTTTGACCAGGAGAATTGACTATGAAGGATTAAAGAG